AGCTACTCGGGAGGCTGAGGCAGGAGAATCGCTTGAACCCGGGAGGCGGAGGTTGCACTGAGCTGAGATTGTGCCATTGCACTCCAGCCTGGGCGACAGAGCAAGACTCTGTCCCTGCCCCCAAAACAAAATAAATAAATAAAAATAAACAGAACAAGATAAACACAGACTTTTCTTACATACAAGTTCACTACAAAGTAAAAGCAGAGATTCACACAAACGTGCCAGGTCTTCACATATCCCAGTGCTGCCCTGCCGCAGACCATCTTGGAAGTCAGTAAGATTTAGAATGTTCAAAACCCGTGCACATGATAGTCAGGAAAGGCATGCAGGCCAGACCATCCCACCCTCACCCACTAACTTTATGTGGCAGGCCCCGCACCCCACTCCTCATGGGCACTTTGGGGACAAACACAGCAGGTCAGAGGACACAGTCCTTGTCCTTCTTAGTGCCTCAGGCCCCTTCAAAGTCAGTCCCTAGGCTGATGTGGGTGGCAAACCTTGTCTTCAGGCAGAGCAGGGCCCGAAAAAGTTTGCTCCCGGAGGCTCCAGGGAGCGCCTGAAGCCACCAGGGCCTTCCTAGGCATTCTTTGGCGCCCTCTAGTGGTCTGCAAAGGCAGCTGGAGCGCCTCAAAGCCGGAGCCTCTTGGCAGAAGCACAGAGCTCAGCGGCCGACTCACACCTTGCACACTGTCCTATTCCTTTAATTAAAATAAACGCTTTATGCCACTGTATAAGAAATGGCCTAACCTTTTTCATGGCAGGACTCTAAGTTCACTGAAGAGGCTCAGAGAGTGGACTTAGCGTTCCTTAAGAACTCCAGATAGGGACAAGCACAGTGGCTCACAACTGTAATCCCAAACACTTTGGCAGGCCAAGGCAGGAGGACAGCTTGAGGTCAGGAATTCATGGCAAGACCTCATCTCCATAAAAAAATTAAAAAAAAAAAAAAAAAAAGGAACTCCAGATGAAGGCCATAATGATCTCACTCATGTAAACCTCCACACATGCTTCAACACGCACAGACCCTGCTGGTGTCAGGTAGACAGCAGATGTGCTGTGAATGGAGGTCTGGTCATTACTGATCAAGGGGATTTTTTTGAAGTTGAGCTGAAACACACACACACAAACCCCCCACTAGGGCTCACAGGAAACCTGAGCTGGAATGGGACTTCCCTCGACCCCAAGGAGGCGGCTGAGGCTCTGCTGCTCCTGTGTTTGGCTCACACATCAGGCGGGGCCAGTGCCTGTAAACACTGCCTTCCGTGGAAGTGCACAGGGCCTTGGCACATTCTTCTGGGATGTTCTGAGTGTGAAAAAGGCACTGACTGAGCCAACTGAGGGGCTGAGGAAAAGATACGCTAAGATGTGCTGCCTGTCCTGTTCCATGAAGCCATTTGGAACCTCCTATCCTTGGATGAAGACCCTCTGAACTCAGGGCAGGAGTTGGGGAGTGTGTACGTGTGCAGTCTCTTTCCGCTAACCCACAGCCCGCCTGCACCACCACCGAGCTCCATGTCCTGACATGTCTTCTCCTGTCTCACCCCGATGGCATCCATCTGTTAACTCAGCTAAGGGCCTACCAAGGGAAAGGCACAGTGCTAGGTGCTGCGGAACGCTGCAACCTCCTCCTCGGCTCATTGCAGAGTTAAAAGGAAAAGATCACTGTCACATGCTGGGTGCTTTTTCGTGTCAGGAATGATATAAACACCTGTATA